GCCTTCATCACTCTGCAGCTCCTGACAGGAGGGTGCAGGGAGGGGGGGGTTGGTCTCTTCTCCCAAGGAACCAGCAATAGGACAAGAGGAAGTGGGCTCAAGCTGCATCAGGGGAGGTTTAGATTAGATATCAGGAAAAATTTCTTGACAGAGAGGGTAGTCAAGCATTGGAAGAGGCTGCCCAGAGAGGTGGGGGAGTCCCCATCCCTGGAGGGGTTCAAAAAACAGGCAGACGTGGCACTTTGGGCTATGGTTTAATGGGCATAGGGGTGTTGGGTTGATGGTTGGACTGAGGATCTTAGAGGTCATTTCCAATCTTAATGATTCCTAGTTTTTACTTGCATTAAAAAAATAATGCAGCCACCAAGCCAGGAAACATGAAATTGCTACTCTCCCCTTAATTGGTTTAGTGGTGGACTTGGCAGTGTTAGGCTAATGGTTGGACTGGATGATCTTAAAGGTCTTTTCCTACCTCAGTGATTCCATGATTCTATGATTCTAAGCCTAGGAGCAGGATGGTGCCGCAGAGGAGGGAGCGGAACACCGGGCAAGACTCAGCAGCCAAGCTGGGGCTGCGGGGTCTCAGCTCTCCCCTGTCCCATTTTGGGTCCTTACAGCCAGACCATTTCCCGAGCTCCTTGTCCGTTGGCTAACGAGAGAGAGCACAGTCGGTCCGTGCCCTCCCCATGCTCCCACGCACCGAGGAATGGAAGGATTTTCAGTACAGCAGCAGGAGTTGTTTAGGTGGTAAACCCAGAGCACGGCTGAGCTCTGGCCCTGGAAGATTTGCCCATAGCTGGGAGGTGGTGGATTCCCACCAAACCAGCCTAAATCAGGTCTTGGAAAAGAGCTGGTAGGACAGACCTGGCTAGCAACGAGCACCAAGCGACTCGCATCTCCACCCCGGCTGGGTTCATGCTGCTTCTGAGCAGGCAGCGGGAGGAGAGGGCAGGGGGCTCGCCGGGCACCGCAGCCCACCTGCATCCCTCATCCGAGTGCGGCAAATACCAGACGGAGACAACCTGCTGCTGACAGCCCCTGCACGCTGGGGAGGAGCTGCCGATGGCGTTCCTCCATCCTGCGCCCCGGCGGGGGAGCGAGCGCTTGGCCTTGTAAAGGGCCGCAACTGGCGGCACGGCTTTCCAGGAAAAACACGGAGATGGATGAGATTCAACCGCGCCTGTTCATCACACTCCCGATGCCTCTTAGCCTTTAATTTCTGCTGGTAACTCGTCAGCGTGTCTCTTGACACCCCGATGCTAACAAGTCCCACGCTGGCTGGGATCTCATTCCAGCCCCGGCAACACCCGAGGGGTAAGGAACACTTTAGCACCCGTGGAAATGCCGGGATCCCCTCTTCAGCCTTTAGACAGGCAGGGTGTCCTCCAGCATAAGCGAGAGCTTGTGTTCCCAGCCGAAACCGCCTGCTGCGGTGGATTTCCTCCCAAATCCGCCTTTTCAGATTCCTAAAGCATTCCTGAAGTTTCAGCCTTTCAGCCAGAAACAGCCGTGACTGCCCTCGGCCCGGCAGCCGGGCTTGGTGAAGTGGCCGAGCAAAACCCCTTTCCAAGCGCGGTATCCGTGGAGAAAGCGTTCTTCCCTTTCTAAATAAAGCCAGGTCCAGCTGGGGATGGCAGGAGCCCAAGGTAGGATGTTACGATTTATTTTGGAAACAGATGCCAGAGGAGGTGAAGCTTTTAAGCGTCTGGCTGAGCAGATGCGGGGAAGTGGCAAGCCCGGTCGGTGGAGCCTTCCAGCCCTTTATTTGCAGGAATTTCTGGCTTTGCTGATATATACAACACGTTCCTTGGATGGTTTTTTATTTTTTTTAGGTCCAGTTTTGCTCTCCTGACAGCTGGAAGTCTTTTCTTCACTGCTTAGTCTTCCTTTTAAATCTCCAGGAGCCGCTCACGCATGGGCTGAGCGCTGGTGCCGGGCGAGACGTCTGCCCCACGAAAGCCGTGGCTTTCGGCATGGCTCGAGGGGTGCAAACACACCTGGTTTGGTGGCTGGGGACTCCCACAGCGATGGCTTCGGTACAACGGCCCGGTGTCCCTTAGGATGTCACGGGACGGATGGGTGAAGCCTGGCCGGGTGCTCAGGCTGGGTGGGTGGGGGGGGGGGGTAAGGGGGACACGCTCCC